TGTAGATTGTTGAGACGGACCAAAATCCCCCTGTGGATAGACTACCATACACCATTTCTGTATTCCTGTCCATCTACAAAACAAAATTAAATAGCTAGTAAAAGTCATATTGAAAGATAAACTCCACAGTGTGTGCATGTGTTTATTCCAGAAACTTATTTTTTTGAAGTATAACATACAGAAAATTACAGAAAGCTTACATATATAGTTCAAGTTATTTTCACAACTTGAACAAAACCAACACCCAGAGTTAATCAGTGATAAATCAGTGTTCCCCAAGTCTCCCTTCTCAATTACTACCTTCCTCCTGGCTTAGCCATTATATTGACTTTTCAAATTTTTTTTTTATATTGACTTTTAACAACGTTTGAGTTCTATTTAGGTGGACACGTTAGGGCTCTAGCTTTTTTTCACATAACATTGTGTTTGTGTTATGCAACATCCACATTGTGCATAGCAGAAGTTTAGTCATTTTCATTGCTGCAGAATATTCCACTGTGTGAACATATTATGGTTTTTTTATGCACCTTAGCTGTTGGTTGACATTTACCACTGCTTTCTTTCAGTTTTAGGCTGTTAAAAATAATGCTACTATGAACTCGTTCTGTGTGTCTTTCTGTAACATACAATACACGTTTTCTACAATTATGTACTCTGGAATTGTACTGCACTGCTGTGTCAGCCAAAAGTTTGCAATGAAAATTCTGCTTGCTCTGCATTCTCACTACCATTGGATATTTCTTTTCTCCTTTTAGTCACTTTGGTGAGTATGAAAGGAGCCTGGTGTTGGGTGAGTAACCCAGAAGGTCACTACTTCGAATTCACCAAACTCCCTTGAAGAAAGATGGCACTCATCTTCCCATTAAGATTTACAGCCTCTGAATTCCATGTGGAGGTTTACAGTGAGTTGAAATAAACTGAGGAACAGTGGTTATTGTTGTTGTTGTGGACTATCAGGTCAGAACTGACCCATAGCTAGCTCTCCAGCACATTTTCAGAAATAGTAAATTCCAATGGAGAAGATTGACCATCTTTCTCCTATGGAGCAGCTGGTGTATACCCTGGGTTGGCAGTTCTTTATCACTAAGCCACCAGAGTTTCATGATGACAGTGCGTATAAAATAGCATTATTATTGTTATGTGCCACTGAGTTGGGACTGACTCATAGCATACCTTCCAGTGGGTTTTCAGAGTCAGTAGACTGCACAGGAAAAATTGCTCATCTTTCTCATCGAGCACCTGGGGGATTTGAAGTGTCTCTCTTGGGGTTGGCAGTGCAACTCCTCACTTAACATTTCCATGATGAGAAATGAAATTGAGCACTATTGTTGTTCTGCCCACGAAATGCCCCTCAAAGGAGATCCAGTCACACATTTGAAATTTTCAAGACCGTTTATTAATTCCACATGTGGAGACTTTCTCCCTCCGCAAGTTGGTGGCGGTGGAAAGAAGCCCCAAGTCCCCCGTCCCAATTGCTTTTCTAGCTTTTCTGAGTGCCCCGTCGGGGCAGGGAGATTGAGATCATGGTTGGTGTGTCGGGGGATCAGTCATGTGGGCCGGCTTTTGACAGGCTGGCTACTTTGCCCACCTTTACTCCTTTTGTGTCACGTAGACACTAGTTAATTCTTTACTTTGCAAGGACAGACAAGGCTTTACCCAGGGCATTTGTGTTTGCCTTAAGCTAAGAATTTTTATGGCCTGCTTCTGCTTCTGGCATTAATGGGGGTTTATAAAAAAAATGGGGTTTTTGCTGTCCCTTCATTGTAAGTATTTGTTAGCCCTGTAGATGTGCTTGCTTGTGAAGTGCCTGTTAAATCTTTAGTGTCATTAGTATGTGGAAATAGTTTATATTTCTTGAATGTGAACTCTTTGTTGAATATAGAACTTCATTTATTTCTCTCTCTTCATGGTGTCATTTTATGAACAGAAATAGTTTGGATGTAATCCATCTTCCCGCTTCCCGCTTGTTTCTTTTATGCTTCTATTTAAGAAATGGTTGAGTACCCCATTAGGCTTTCAGAGAACAAAATGTGTCACACTAAGACTTCACATTTCTCAAGAACATTAGAAGGTAAAAGACAGTAGGCCATTGCTTTCTATTCTGTGGGTTCCCAAGGCCACTTCCAGGCTCTCCAAAGAGGGCTTGTGAGGTTCCCATATCACAGTATTCCTGACTTGGATTTATTGTTGTGACAGAATACAAAGCAAAATCAGCAAAAGGACAGTGCATGGGATGAAGTCTACAGGAAACTAGGCTGTGCTTCCAGGATTCCTTGTGAAGTTATGTAAAATGTGTTCAGTTACTCCAGCAAAAGGGACTTGAAGAGACTGGGTGAAAATAAACATAGATCACTATGTGACTGATCTATGAAATATGTGTATAACTGCATGAAACACAATATAAACGAAAGATTGTATAAAACACAATATATGTGAGTGAAACACAATGTAAAAAAGTTATTGTATGGAAACAAATTTAAAACCTTTTTAAAGAGTTAAGAAAATACTTGATGAAAAATTATCTACTATGGAACCTTCATAGCAGCTCTAGTTAAGTTTTTTATTGGGGCTGATCATGCCAACACCCTCTGTCTAGTACTTTCCAAAAGGAAAGCAAACATTAAGTCTTCCATCCATCAATGCAGCATCTTTTTCCATATATTTAAGTCATCTTTAGTGTCTCTTAATGATGCATATCTTTCAGTAGATTTATTCCTACAAAGTTAATATTTTTTATGTAATTATAAGTTACATAATTTTAAAAGTCCATTCTCTATTTATTGATATATAGAGATAAAATGTGAGATTAAATTTTGTATATTGATCTATCCAGTGACTTTGCTGTGCTCATTTTGATAGTTTACAACTTTGGGTTTTCTGTATACAGTGATGTTGTTCATCTTTTTTGCTTCCTTCCTTTCTTTTCTTCTGTATCCTTATTTATTTATTCTTCCCCATCTTGTTCTTTTTTTAAAATTAATTTTAATGAACATTTACAGAGATTTTGGATTTCCATTCATTCGTTGTTGCATTTTCTCCCCTCCCCCCCACCGCCAGTTTGCTCTTCTCTTTGAGAAGTAAAAGAAAAATTCCTTCATATAATCCTCCCACACCCCCTAACCCCACCCTGAGTATACTCTACTCTGCAACCTTCATTCTGGATTCTTACGATAATCATAAAACCCTATAATATATTGCTTTTAAACTGTTCTCTCCGTCTTCTATTTCAATGCAGTATACATAATTTATCCAGTTTTTCTCATTCTTTCCCCAACCCTGATGTCAGTCCCATTCTACAGCAGTGGCATTATACAGTGTTTGTCCTTTTGTGACTGAGATATTTCACGCAGCATAGTGTCCTCCAGGGTCACCCATTTTGAATAATATTGCATGAGTTCCTTGTTTTTCAATGCAATGTTTTATTCCATTGTGTGAATATACCACAGCTTCTCTATCCATTCATTTGTTGATGGGCACTTAGGTTGCTTCCAGCTCCTTGCTGTTGTGAACAAAGCCACAATAAACCTGGGTGTGCATATATCTGCTTGGATGGCGGTTACCCCACCTTATTCTTGCCAGCTTCCTGTGCTGCCTAGGACCTCTGTTAAAATATTTAGTAAAAGTAGTGGTAGGAGCCATCTTTGGCTGACTCCTAGTCATGAAATTTTAATATTTCACTGTTAAAAATGTTAACTGCTCTAAGGATTTCTTTGGACTCAAAAAGTCAAGTTTAAACCCTCAAGATAGTCATTCAACAGTAAAGAGAGCCTGGAAACTTATCTGTCGTAATTATAGGGTATATACTATGTGTACACAGCATGCTATGGGCCTCCACTGCAGCCGTTTGGTCACAATCTTATACAGGAATTTGAACATTGACAGTAGCATCTTTAAATTCAGAAAGGTGCGCCATAATACTGTAACCGAGGAGTCAAGTCTGAAATTCTTATTTAAATGCTTTAGCAAGGAACACCCCAGGAAAGGAGAATAGGAATGATTGCACCGCTTTAAAAATATTAACCGGATTGTATATGTAGAAGTCGTTAAAAGTTTTTTACAAAATGCTATAGAAGCGTGTAGGGAGCTCTGGTGGCCTACTGGCAAGAAGCTGCGTTGCAATCCTGCAAGCTCGCAGTTCAAGGCCACCAGCTGCTCCTCGGGAGAAGGATGGGCAACCTCCTCCTGTGCTATTAATTGCTTCTGAAAACCTGCTGGAAGATCAGCAATGATTCAGTCCCAACTCTTTGGTACACAACAACAAACATGTAAGAGTGTGTTACCATAACTTGAATTTTTGTCTCCTTTTTCTTCCAAAGTAAATGGAATTAATTATGGATGAAGATACAGGTTCAGGTAACTCTAGACTCATAACATGGGAAGGGAGATACTGGATTTTTCTGTTCCCTCCCGTCCTTTGTGTTGTATAGTGAAATTTTTTTCATGATTTGTTAGTTTGCAAGATAGATATTAATTTAATTAAAATATAATTGCTATTTGCATACCTACTTGGGATCCTAAGTCCTGCCAAGCAGGCTATAATTGCAGATTTATTTTTCACTCTTTAAATTATCTTGTTATTATGTGCCAACAAGCCAGAACTGACTTGTAGTTCACCCTTCAGTGGATTCTCCCGAGTCAGTAAACCACATGAGAGGACAATGCTCATCTTTCTCCGACTGAGTAACTGATGAATTTGCACCATCTCCCTTTTGCTTGGGAGCCAAGTCCTTGCCTACTCCCAGAACTCCCTTTAAATGATAACCTGAAGAATTTATGCCACTTGTAGAATGCTCTGTTTTGTTTTTGTAACAAATTAGAAACATTTTTTATGCTTAGTCAAGTCTAACCTTGAGGTCTTTTATGAGACTTTGACTTATGAAAATACTGGTAAGAAGTGTTTTCATAAGTCAAACTCTCATAAATAAATCTCACACAATGAGATTTGTATAGAAAAATTTGTAACTCTTGGATTAAAACTAGTACATTTATTACCCCTATAGATTTTGAAAAGAATGTCTCCAACATCCCTCAAGATCACTCTAAGGCAACTCAAAGAAGGATCTTCAAAGACATTGCCAGAAGTGTTAATTATGGAATATCGCTTAAGTCAAGCTTGTATGGTAAGAATTTTTTCAAGTGCTATTTTTCTAGTTATTTTCTAGTTAGAGAAATAGTGCAAAACTGCACAAAGATCTTTTGTCACAAGTGAGCTAACTTTACGTGTGTGGAAATATGTTCCCCAGATTAGTAGTAGCCTTTAATGAATCAAGTAATTACATTTGCATATTATTGTTGTTAGGTGCTGTTGACTATGACTCAGAAACCTTATGAACAACACCCCTGATTCCTGCCCTATCCTGTGTCATCCTTATCATCTCTGATACACTTGAGCCCAGTGCTGCAGTCACTGTGTCAGTCCATCTGAGGGTCTTCCTCTCTTTATCTGACCCTGTTAACTTTCCAAGCATGATGTCCCATTCCACGGGATAGCCTCTCATAGTAACATGTCTAAAGTATGAGAGATGAAGGTTTGCCATCTTTGCCTTCACGGAGCACTCTGGCTGCACTTTTTCCAAGATATATCTGTTTGTTCTTTTTGCATTTGCTTATAAATCTGTATTAAAAGCCCTTAAATCTCACCAGAAGTTTAAAATAGACAACCATGATTCAGGCATGGTCATTGTGATCTTGGGCAAGATGCAGAAACTCACTGAATCTGAATTCCGTCATAATGTAAAATGATATATATTAAAAGTAGCACTCAATCTAGTACAAAATGCTCTGTGTAGTACTTGGCAGACAATAAAGGACAAGAGGGAGTTATTTTAAATGTTTTAATCAATAGATTAACATTTAAGGTACCATTGTATATAATTTAAACAGTAGTCACATGCAGTGTTATTTTCATGAAAAAATTTGAGCCATCAATTTCTTCCAGATAATAAACTCTTTAAGGGTAGAATTATCCCTTTGGTGTTAATGTTCAGAAGATTCTTAAGAAATAATTTATGGAATGAATACATTTACCTAATTTGATCCATTTATAACCTAAGAGGAATATTTTTATATAATTACCAGAAAATAATATATGCCTATTGGGCTTTAATGCCTTCAAAGTAGTTATTAAAATAGTCAAAATAGTTAATTTAGCCAGGATGAAAATTCCATTGGTTATTTTTAAAATCACTCCTCAGAGAATGAAAATAGGAGCTAAGGTTTATTACATCGTGGGTAGTATGCAAAGAACTTTGCATGCATTCTTTTAATTAAATCTTATTCTAGAAAGATTGGTACTGTTACTATCTCCTCTTACAGATGAGGAAAATGGTATAGAGAAGTCTGAGAGTGCTGATAGTGAATGGCTGAGAACAGGCTAGTGAGTGGCTTGTGGCACAAAGCTGTGTCACTCCATGGCCTGTGGTCCTGACTACCCTGTGTATTTTACACAGTACATATTTTTCAGAATACATATGTGCTCTACCTTGATTGACTCCCTCCTTTCTTCAGCCTGTCAGCAAAAATAATAGTTTATGTCAGGCACTATGCTAAGTATTTATTACACTTAATCAGAAGATGCACTGCTTATTTCATGGAAATTACAGCATCCAGAAATGACAAAGAATTAGTAAAACAATTACACATTGTGGAAGTTATCTAAAGCATATGTTTGGAATTGGTATTAGAAGAAAATTACACAGGGATAGGCATGTTTGTGGAAGGGAGAGAAACTTAATTTGAAAAGTAAGCCAAGGAAACTATCTCAGAGGTGTCACCTCATATGTAACCCCAAGGATGAGAAATAAAAATGCTGATAAGCCTCTCAAGGTTTAAGCCAGGATTTTAAATTTGATCTGTTTGCTTTTAAAAAGATACAGAAATAGAGATAGAGAGGCTCATAATAGATGCAGAGATCAGAGAAAAGTTTATTGCAATAATCAGAATGGGAAATAATAACACTTTAGACTATGGTGAAAATAGAAGAAATAGATTTGAGACAGATGTAGAAGATAGGCTTGATAGTTCTGGATGGATGTGAGGGAAATAATGTATTTAGCAATTGAAGCAAAGAGGCTGAGGCTAGGGGTTGAGGTCTGGGGCATTAGCACTAATTGCTTTTTAAGACTTTGAGGCTTTAATTACTTACTAAAAAAAAATAGCATGTACAGGGAACTGCTGGGTTATTGGGAATGCATAGGAAAAAGCCCAGAAACTCCTACATTCTTGGTACTTTATGGTGGGAAGACATGCCATAAATAAGATCAATGCATAAAATATATGGTATATGAATTATAAGTCCTAAGGTGAAAGAGTAAATAGAATATGAAATTTGTAGGGACAGAGGGTTAAACTGTAGACAGGATGATCAGGAAGGCCACACTGAGATGGTCAAGTGAAGACCTGGAAGAAGTGAGGAAGAGTACTCCAGACAAAGGGAACTGTGGGTACTGAGTTGAAAGCGTGTCTTCTGATTCTAGGAGGCCAGGAAACAGTGTGGTTAGAATAGAGGAGATGGTGCCTGAGAGATTATGACAGATCAACAGAAATCAAAAGATGTGTTTAATTGACAAATTTGCTATCAAGGACTCCTCCAAAGTGCTAAAGAGCAAGGATATAATTTTAAAGACTAAGGTGCGCCTACTGATCCAAGCCATGGTATTTTTAATTGCTTCCTCTGCCTCTGAAAGTTGGACAGTGAAAAAAGTTGACCGAAGAATCAATGCCTTTGAGTTGTGTTGGGAAGAGAATTGAATACCCCATGAAATGCTAAAGGAATGAACCAGGTTATCTTAGAGAAAGTGTTACAAGGGTGCTCCTTAGAGGAAAGAATGGTGAAACTTCATCTCAATTACTTTGGGCATCATGTCAGGAGAGACCAGTCCTTGGAAGAATACATCATGCTGGGAAAGGAGGAGGGGCAGAGAAAGACTCTTAATGAGATAGATTGACACAGTGACTGTAACAGTTGCCTTGAGCATATCACAGATCATAAGGATGACTCAAGATAGGGCAAGATTCAGTACCATTGTTTCTAGGGTTGCTGTGAGTTGAAATCTCTTCAGTGGTACCTAACAACAACTAATTGAAGAGGAACTGAGTAAATGGGATGTGAAGACATTGAGAATGTCTGTACATGACTCTTTCTTCTTGAAACAGATATCAGATAGAAAACTAGAACTATGGAATTATTTGAGATTTCTTTTATTACTTTGTAAAATGGAAGGTGTTAGAACATGTTCACAAATGATTAGGAATTATGCAATAGAGAAGAAAGTATGTTGGTGATTAATGTTTACTCAACAATTACTAAATGGTAGATACGTACTGTCTGGGATGTGGATTAAAATTATCTTGTGATGCATGTATAGATACTGGTGTTTCAGGGAACTGAAGTTTGGAGAATTGGCTAGCCCAAAGTGCTGTACTTAATACATAGTTGGACCAAGATATGAACCTAGGGAGTTTGATTGCACTTAGCACTAAGATATACTACTTCTACTGATGTCATGAAAAGAGAATTACACAGTCTTTGAGAAGTCAAGAGGGGATACATGTGAGAATATTGGGGAGAACTGATGTTACAAATGGAGATGATTTCTTTGGCTTCTGTAATGAAAAGGAAGCCAGGTGCAAATAGATGCAGGTGGGCTTTAAATTTAGTGGTAAAAAGACAGGGGTGTCTGTGTTTGAGGGCTTCTCTATTTTAAAATAACATAGATTATTAACTGATAATTTATTGAGAGTAGAGTATAATCAAACAAACAATATATTCAAATGGGCAGATCTCTTTCCAGTGACCTTTTTAAAAAGCTAAGAAGCAAGGATGTCACCTTGAGAACAGACACATCTGACTCAAGCCATAGTATTTTCAAACTCCTGCTATGCAGAGGAGATGTACTGCACTTGCAAAGTCAGCAGTCAGGGACCTTTTCAAATTTTTGAGGAGCAGCGATGTCAGTTAGAGGACTAAATTTTACCCCATTCAGGCCATCGTCTTCTCAAGCACATGAAGAAATGTTCAAAATCCTTAGCTCTAAGAGCAATGCAAATCAAAACAACTATGAGATATCATCTCACCCTAGTAAGAATAGCAAAATTTAACAGAGCAGCAAGCAACATATGCTGGCGAGGATGTGGAGAAACTGGAACTCTTATTCACTGTTGGTGGGAGTGTAAAATGGTGCAACCATTGTGGAAAGTGGTCTGGCGCTTTCTCAAAAAATTGCAAATAGAGATACCATTTGACCCAGCAATTACATTACTGGGAATATACCCCAGACCATAACTGCCATCCCAGCAGATATATGCACACCCATGTTTATCGCATTTGTTTATAATAGCAAAGAGTTGGAAGCAACCTAAGTGCCCATCAACAAATGAATGGATAGAGAAGCTGTGGTATATTCACACAATGGAATATGACATTGACCTCATGCAATATTATTCAAAGTGGGTGACCCTGGAGGACATTATGCTGAGTGAAATATCTCAGTCACAAAGGGACAAATACTGCATGGTGCCACTGTTGTAGAATGGGTCTGACATCAGGGTTGGGGTAAGATTGAGAAAAAACTGGATAAATTATGTATCCAGATGAGGGAAAGAACAGATTAGAGGCGATATATGATTATTATGGTTAGCACAGGAATCCAGAATTAAGGTTGCATAGAGAAGTGTACTCCGGTTGGGGGGTGGGGGGAATGGGATGGGGGAATTGTATATCAATGAAGGAAGTTTTTGTTTAAAAAAAAAATCCTAAAAAAAAAATGTGGTCCAGTGAACGTCATAGTTCAGATTGTGACCATAGTCTGAGGTAGGCGGGGTAAAGAACCCTAGGAACAAAGATGGTTGGAACTTATGCCCCTTACTCTTGATTTTCTTTCAGAGAGGCCATGATTTTCATGAAGGCGTTAGAGCAGGTAAGTGTCAGTAACTCAGTTTCCCTTGTACTATTACAAAAAGAATACTTATATCCTCTTAATTAGAAATGATAGTTGCATTGAACATTTAATTTTGTAAGGATTTCATAAAAATTCATGTTTAGACAGTATTAGTTTCAAAGACTGATCTCTGTTTATATCCCTGTTGGTAATGTGAAAACCAAAAAATGGTAAAATCTCTACAGGTAGGAGGCAATCCTTTTCCTAAAGTCACATGGACTGCCTTTGATAAGTAAACTAATTTTGTTGCTGAAGCTTTGAACATTCCATTGGGGGGGGGAAATATCCCTCAAGTCCTTCCCTCTTTTGTACTATCAGACAAAATCAGCAGCCAGACCTTACCACCACCTTCTTTCCTGCATCAGAGCACTTAAATCTGTTTAAAAACCATGTGGCATAATTTGTACCATCTGCTAATGTTCTTACTAGTATTTTGCATTTTTGCTTACCATGTCCAAAGTCAGCATATTCAAAAAGAGCAAATGGAGGGAATGATTTGTTTAAAAGCAGAAATACAATAATTCCTTTTTATTTATAATTTCTTATTTGTATAAACAATAGCTATTATTTCAGTAGTATAAAATGAGGTGTTTCTGTCTGAATTTATTATATTTTCATCAGTTAGAATATGGGCATTAAATATGCTGTTTTTACAATAATAAAAAAAAATTTGTGTTCCCCATAATCTAAGCTTTGATAATAACCAGTCACCATTGTTTTAGAATTCTTAATTTCTTACGTGATAGAGTCATCAGAAGTAGCACTGTTCTCAAACCTTTTAAGATGACATGGAGTTCATTTAGAGGCCACAGCTGTGTATTTTATTGAAATGAAGTAAAATGCTTTTCCCCACTAATTCTCTACAAATTCTTGCTTGAATGTGCATCATCTGAGCTTAGGCCTCTGATTTTAGGAAGTTACTACTTGAGTTAAAGAAAAAATACTCAAATCTTTACTATACATTATTATAGCTATTTGTAAACAAACAAAAATATTACTTTCAGATGAATATTGTCTGTTATTTTAAGGGGGGGAAAAGGTCGAAAGCTTCATCAAAGCAGCAAAGTCCTGATTGATAAAGCAGGTGCTTTTTATCAAGTCACTTTTAATGAAGAAAATATATTGCTTAATCTTTCCGTTTAGCCTCTTTATTCAGAAAGCTACATAATTTCTGATTAAAAATGTTCAGCGTTCTTGCATAATCAAATGTCTGTTATGCTTTGTAAATTAGATAAAATATGTTAGCATATTAGGGAAATGGCTATTACAAATTCTTCCTGATAACACGTAAATGGATTATCTCTGCAGAGCTACGGGGACTCCGCTTCCAAATGGAATTTGTGTGGGTCTCTCATGAGACCTTCTGAAAAATCTGAGTTGTGTGTATTGTAGGGGACATAAATGACATCACTTCTAGGAGAAGGAAAAAAGAGTTTGTTTAAATTAAAGTAACAGAGTTTGACTAATTTTTTTTTTAAACTTTAGTGGAATCACAGGAAGGGACATAATTGTGACCAGAAGGTTTAAAGAAGAAGAGGTGTTTGTGCAGAGAATACCCTAGGATTGTTCTTTATCTTTTCTAAGGAAGATAAAACTCAGATTTGAGGGATCAGAACATCAGGGTTTAATGCCACCACTGATTTGATACTGGAAGCCCGTCAGGCAGCCAAACATTGAAAATGTCCAGTGATGGAAACCATCTTACCTCGTAAGGCAGTCTTCCTTTTTAGTTCCTAAGCCTCTTAACATTTTAGTCTTTTGTGCTAAATTGGGTTTTTGGGGCTGTCTGTAAAATTTATATTGTTATGTATTTTCATTCTTCACAAGATTTAAGCATATTTTGAGCATAATTGAAATTCCCTACCTGAACCATACCAACTATATGCTGTTCCTTTTTATGTAAAAACAGTACAAAATCAAGACCTATTTATTTAGAAGTAATTGTAGACTCACATGCCTTTGTAAAATGTGAGAGATTCTGCGTACCCTTTTTCCATCTTCCCTAGAATCACAACCAGGAAATTGATACTCTCCCTCCTATTTAAGAGAGTTGAAGATTGCCTCAGAATTCCTAATGTTGCTCTGGCTACATTAAGTGATGACCACACAGAAATAGGAGAGGGAGAGGTTTTGTGATAACTTGAGGTGGTCTGGCATTTAATTTTAATCCTGTTCACACCACAGGATTCAGCAGACCTGTAGTATCCACACTGAAGCAGGCAGACAAATATTCTCTCACTCCAGACACTGCTTCCAAATGCAATGTATAGAGATTGTGAAAGCAGATCTGGGCCTGCCACCTTTGACTGCATTCCCCTTTAAGCCACACCAAGTCTGGTTTTTAACTGTTTTCTACCATTGGGGTGCCACTTACTATTTTAAGGAGGAAAATATGTTTAATAGTTAAATCACTAATAATTCAGGATTAATTTAGTAAGCTTTGTTAAAGCTAGAGATATCATGCTTAGATTGGAAGCTATCTACACTAGTCTTCATCAGTATATTGCTATCTAGGAATCCAGGTATCTTGGGATTTATTTTAGAAGAAAAATTGAACATGTATAAAATTTAAAAATTTATAGAGGGGAAAGTACTTTGAAGTCAACATACCTAATACAAGGTGGTGATGGTTAGTTTAGTCGCTGTTGAATTGGTTCTTACTCATAGCAGCCTTATTTTGCACAACATAACGAAACATATGGATTGATTCAATAATGAAAATCTGATAATAACACAAAGAAATGTGTTCACATCTATGTCTTGACAGTTTTAATAGAAAAAGACCCAAATCCGAAGTGGAAACCAGCTGATCTAAAAGATGTTACTGATGAAGATGTGAATAATTATTTTCAATCCCTGGGAAGCAATGATCTGAAATTTTGAAGTGACTGTTCTTTTAAAAAGCTGCTAGTTTGGAGCATGACGACAAATATGGTGATGACAAATACGGCTTGCTTTATTTTATACAGCCTGTAAACTAAGAATGGTTTCTTAATTTTAAAATGATTGTGGGGATGGGCGTCATTTATTTCATGCTACATACAAATTATATAAAATTCAAATTTCAGCATACAGAAATTGTTTTTTTGGAACATAGCTGTAATCTCCCCCCCCCTTTTTTTTTTTCATATTACTCATGACTCTCTTCATGTTCGAGAGCTCTGGTGGCTTAGTGGTGAGGGGTTGTGCTGCCAAACCCAAAGGCACACAGTTTGAATCCACTAGCAGCTCCCATGTGATTTACTACCTCTGAAAACTCGCCGGAGCGTTAGCTGTGAGTCACTTCTAACTTGAAGGTACACAACAACAACTTTTCATGCTACCCTGGCAGAGGTAGATGGTTACAAAGGGGATCATGTGGCCTGCAAAGCCTGTTTACTTTTTAACCCTTGACAGAAAACATTTACCAATCTGTGTATTAGAAGAGGGGGAAAATGGAAAGGTCTTTAATGATTCTCTTCAGTTAATATATCTAATTGAAATAGGAACTTTGTGCTTTGCCTTTGGGTAGTGACTTACATGTTTATTAAGTAGATGCATATATATGTAGATTTAAAAAAATTATAAACCCTGAAAAACAATTCTTTGTTAATGCTTCAGAGAATTCTCTCCATGTATAACATCTATTCCAAACAAGTAGAAGTATTTTTTATATAACATTAGAAATCCAAGAAAAAAAAAATTTATAAAGTTGTCTCTTTTTTTCTTTTCCTAAAGTCATAAGGTGATAGGTAGGTCTTTTGTTCATAGAGTCCCTATGAGTCGTGCTTGACTCGACAGCAATCAGTAACAACAACAAAATAATAATAATTCCATCCTGTAGGAAACACTGTTGCTTTTTATTTATAATTGTGTTCATCTGGCAGAATAAGGTATTTGGAAACTCCAGTGTCTGATAAACTTTACTTACTGCAATTTACCTCAAACTTGTGTGCTATGTTAATTGTTCTCACAGAAGGTTCAAATCTAGTGGGGGCAAGGGAGCTCTGGTGGCGTAGTGGCAAGAAGCTGCACTGCAATCCCGGAGGTACAAGGTTCGAATCCAACGGATGCACTGCTAGAGAAGGAGGGGCAATTTGCTCCTGTACCAGTCAGATCCAATTTGATGGCACATACACACACAAATAATAAATTTTTTTTTAAATTTAAAAAAAAATCAAGAGGAGGGAAGAGGAGTTTATTCAAAATATAAATGACATTAGTGATTTGTATTGACAGTAGGTGTTATTTAAGGAACCTTAAGCATAGGTAAGAATCTTAGTCACCTGATCATTTTATAACTTGAATAGTTTCTCCTTTATCCCAAACCTGTAAATACTAAGAGACTTTCAAGTTGATAGTAACACAAATCAAAGGTACTAAAAAGGACATCAGCGATTGTTTCCTGTTCACAAGTGAGCAAACTGCCATTCACCAGGTCAGTTGCTGTTTCTTAGTTCTTGAGTTGAGATGCAGAATATGTTAAGTCTTCCAAAAATTCACAGAACATATTTCAAATAAAGATGCCATGATAATGGACACGTTCACATTTCTATTTTCATAGCAGCTAAATTGGACCAGAAGGAGTCAGGAAATTTATTTGTATATATTGATTTTTACTCACTTTGTTATAATATGTTACCGAGCCCAAGATGGGTGATTTTAAACTGTGGCCCTCAGGCCTGGTTCAAATTGTTTTTCTGTCAAACATTCTTCTAGGTGGTCTGTGCATTGCTATACAGTGGTATCTCATAGTTGCTGTGAAGCTGAACACTGTGACACTGATGTGCCAAAAGTGATAATGGTTACCCATGGTGGACAGTGTTTGCTGGAGCTTCCTGATTAAAACAAGCCTGGAAGCAGGAGTGGCATCCTCTTTTGAAATGGCATGCCTTCGGAAACTCTATGAACAGTGCTCAGGCTTTTCATTCATAGGGTCGCTATAAGTCATCTACGACTCGATGGCACTTAACAACAACTCTCTTTATATTCGTTGTCAAGAAAATGTTGAAATCATTTATGTTAAAAAGCAAGTCTACTTAGTTAAAAAGCATTTGCTTTCTTTAAATAATAACTCAGAGCTAGTTACTTGCAGCTAGGTTTTATTGTACAGTTATAAAAATTTTTTCACAAAAATACCTGGAAATATATACCATTTCATAACTAAGTCTTACAGGTTCTTAGTTTTACAAACAAGGTTGCACACAGGGCTTCCAAGCCACTGCCCACACGATCCAAGGAGGAGGTATTCTATATTTAGTCACATGTATACAATATGAGGGCATTATAATGAAGCATATGCTCTTTAGAACTTGTGTTTATAGTACAGTTTCATAACACTATTTCTAAAGGGTTTCTAGCTCTTGATTTCTAAACCTGCAATACCATAGTCCCCTTGTCTCATAAAATGTCAAGAATATTGAGTAGAACATAAAGATATCATACTACTTCATTCAGTGTGTCTATTTTTAATAAGGCAATTTGACACAAATTATTCCTTTGGAACTAAGAGGGTACTCATTTTGTTTTCTTCAAAATTGTGCTTTATATTAATTGTCATAGGTAAGTGCTAAGGCAACTTAAATCCTAGGATCACAGGCACATAACTGAAAGAGTGTGGGAGATGCTTTTAACTGGGAAAGGCATAAGTGAAGAATATCTGTGGAGTATGTGAACTTCTGAAAATAGGGAATTGGCACATTTCTCCATTTGAGCTGTTTCTGTAATTACCGCCTATTGTTTGTCAGGCTCACAGAGGGTCATCTGCGGCTGCATGGATGTTCCTGAGGAAAGATGCACATGTAAATGGGGCAAAGAAAGAAAACTGCAACTGTGTCCTTTCTCTTCAGTATAAAACACTGGAAACTTGTATTTGCAGTGGCAAATAAAAGTACCACAGTTTTGTTGGAGAAAGAGTGATAGCAGATTAGATCTACCTAGATACATCTGGCAGCGTCTCAGTTATACCTCAGTAAGTAGAGGCCACGAGCAAAGAAGGAATCAAAAGTTAAAACATTTCAAAGTGAGCAAACCTCTCCAGTCCATGAATACTTAAAAAAAAAAAGTAGGATATGCAGCTTTAAACATTTTATCATTGTTATTAATTTCTCTAATTAGGGTGCTTTTAAATAGAAAATGATATGAAATATAAAATGAACAAAAAACACCTGGGCATTTGTCTGAACCACAAGTATAAATACTCAAAATTGCAAATTTCTCTTCAGAACTTTAAATGTTTTGTTGCACCTATGTGAAACTTTCTTCCTGTAGCCTTAAAATTTCAGTGAACAAGTATGGTGGGTTTTTTATTATGTAAGTTACAAGATTCTAAATACAATAGGAATGTATAGATCCTGGAATTAGGTGACTAACATTCATTAAATGAACAGCTGTCTAAAGGCAACTAGACAGTGACACATCACCCAGTTTAAAGAGAGATTTCTTTGCCCAAGTAACTAAGAGTTTGCTGCATTCGATTGTAGGTTTCAAAGTGTAATTGTGAAAATTAGAGGTAGACAAGGCCAAATGCATATTTATCTCACTAAAGAGGTCACGAGCTTTTTTCCTGCCTTCTAAGGACAAAAGATCTAATGTGTTTAACAAAAGGATCCAGCATAAATGAGCTTAAGTATTCCCTTTTCATTTCAACTCTCTGGGTAGAAAAATCTTGATGAAAATATAATTCTAAAGACTCAGCCCCTATTTTCCTACAGGATCTACCCTCTCACTATCTTCCTCGCCTCACCCCCAAAATTATCTGTTATCAATGAGTTCTGAAACAATACTGATTCCTTTAAAAAAGCTGAGGAAGAGTGTGCTTAGATGGAATGCTTCAGGTAAACCTAGAAATACAGAATAATGGCTATAAAGCTTTATAGGCTTTGTGCTGCCATTGGGGGGAAGATGCATGTTGACCTTAAAACATGCATTGAACTTGTTTCAGTGGAAGCATTCCATCTTTTTCCATTCTGCAGTCCAACTGTCTTTTTGCATTGCCTGGTCCTGTAGCAATTTGGCAACTGCTCCACCAGTCAGCAGATTAGGAATAACTCCTCTGTATGCTAGCTGTTTCCACCTGTGAGACATTTAGGGCTGAGGCCATGTTTTGCTTTCTCCCTTGCAAACAAAGCTTCTGTTATCTTAAGATTTACTGGATTGCTGCTTTAAAAAAAAGCTGCTAGTACTTGCTTTCTTAAACAGATCACTGGGTTTCCTAGGTCAGGGTTGTGGATAGTATGTAATAAGATGGCTTTTGTAAATAGTGTCTTTTTTAAGCCCCAAAGTCTGAGTCATCTAATAACAAACAGCCTGGTTAGTTAGAGACCTGAAGTTCAAAGTCATAGTTATGTTCTTCATTTACAAAAATAAATATATTATTAAGGAAAAGGGTTAAAAGAGACTTCTACATAAGTTGTTTGATCCTTTATGTCAAGAAGTGGGAACCCTTCACACAAATGATTTTACCGGTAAGACCCACTGATTATCACTTGAGTGCCTTTCTTTTATAGTTGTAGCTTTTTTGTGTGTGAATTTGGGGCAAATTTTTATTCTTACTTTCTTTGGTGATGCCACTACTGCCTCAAAAAGAAATGGATGGGACATGCAGCTGAATATTGTAGTACCCTTTAAATGACTACAAGCAGGTAGAAATTGCTATGAACATAGAACCATTTAGAACACATTTCATCTGTCTCGCTACATTAGGAAAATTATCACACAGACTGTTTTTCCTTATATTTAGATAGTTTTTTGTATTTACTCACCAGTTTTTGCTTTTGTTTCATGTATTTAACACTAGCACCAACTATAGCTACAGTTTATGATGATGTCATCACCCTACGACATCAGGCCCCTCACTTTCGATATATGGGATGTCGGAGTATTTGATGTTATTGCATGCCCATTGCTGCATAGCATCATTCAGGATTTCCTCGGATAGATGTTGTGCATATTCAAGGATCACAGGATTGGTCACTGGCTGTATCTTTGTTTCCTCTCTGATGACGGGAGAAGGCATCTTTGGTAGAAATGTCTCTGGCATAAAGGCTTCTTCACTTGGATGGCGCTTCTCATTCTCAAATGTAGGAGGAAATGGGAAAGTTTGCTTTGATTTCATGCAGCCCATGTTATGAAGAGCTTTGAGTGGAGGACAACAGCAGCAAAGACTACTTCACCAGCATCTTTGGGTCACAGGAAGTGAAGTCCAGGTGATCCTGACCAGTGTTTTCGCTCTGCAGGAGTCAGTATTCCCTCTCAGCACTCTTTGCATGTAGTGTTTACCTGTAAAGAGAAGGAAGGTTTCATCTTGTAACTATATACTGCGTGATGAAGTGGCATGCAGAAACAATCCTCTTTATCAATTTGGTCACTTGAAGGAAACAAGCGGTAACAACAGAGAGCTTTAGCTTCTCAGTAAAGGCAAAGATAATGGAAGAGAGCTAAAAAAGGATGTTTACAAGATAGGAAAATATTCATTTGTGTATTGGGTATGCTGTCTTCATGCCAAAAGAGTAGCTGAGTGGTTGCAACAGAGACCATATGGCCACAGAACCTAATATAATCCACTCCAGTGCCAAAACTCTTGAGCCTGCTTATCTTTGGCTGCTACCAGAGTAAGACTTCATCTCCTGCTCAGATGTTTCCAATTCAAATAATGTCAGATAATCTCTAAACAACATAGGTTAAATGTGGCAAAGTCACCCATTTTCTGTTCTGAAATAGAAATTCCCATGAAATTATATGGACATGTTCGATTGAAGTAATGTTAAAGTTCTCTCAGCCCAAGTATCTCATCCACAGTTCTTTGCCTTTGGACAGTAAGTAAGCTGCAGTGCTTGTAATGTTCCTTTTGAGTTCTCTGACTGTGATATTGTCACTGAATTAATATTGTTGTTGTTATGTGTCGTCGAGTCACTTGTGATGCATAGTGACCCTATGTACAATAGTCCTGACACCTGCTCTGTCCTGTGCCAACTTTGACACACCTACTCTCATAACCCCAGTCACTGAATCAGTCCTTCTCATCCAGGTTCTTCATCTCCTGTACTATCCCTCCACCCTCCCAAACATGATGTCCCTCTTCAAGGACTGGTCCCTCCTTACAACATGTCTGAAGTGTGTCAGATGGAGCTTCAGAATCCTAGCCTCCAAGGGTGAACTAAAACCAAGACAGACTTCACAGCAAGATTTCACAGTAGAAGAGAACAGTCAATAAATAGTGTTGACTTATTTATGAGAATACTGATATTAAAAAAGGAAGAACTAGCATTTTTTTAGAAAAGTATGTAGTTAACAAAGTCCAGAAAAAGTTCCCTTTGCTCAGCTTCCTGTTAGGTGTTTTCAGGCCTGTATATACATGCTGTGTTCTTGCAGTACTACATCTGTTCTGAACTCCTTATCCTCCCAATGGGGATAAGAGGGAGATCCCATTTCCTATGTACAGATACCCTTAGTCTTGAATACATGTTCCAGGAAGATTTCAGAAGTGTATTTCAAAAGGGGAGGAGCAATTGTACACAAGCTCCTTGAAACCAGGGGCGGTCGTGGTTGTGCCTGTCCAGCATATTATAAAACTCGATATCGAATCCATTTTGTATTATGAGAAATAGTGAGGAGAATTGGCCATATTTAACAGAAATAAAAGACACTTGAATGAGTGTCAGCTAAATAAAAGGCCATAAGCAGAATTATCATCATATTCCTGTTACCTAGAATCTTGAATTTTGCAAAAGTGACTGAGCAGACATACTGTAGATAGAAAGGTATTTCTAGCCAGTGAACAGCAGTCAACAAGCACTGTGACCTTTGAGCAAAGGGACACACATTGTAATCAGCCCTGCATCCTGGATTTCTGTCTGGGAGCCCCTTCCTACCACAGGGAAAGCAAGGAGAGTAGCATCCCTGCTGCACTGAGATAGCAGAGGCTTGTCCTATAAATTCTAGCTGAAGCAATGTCTAGAACAAATACTTAAAGAGAAAAGGGAGCTATGGAGTCTTGGCTGAAATGTGCAGGATAATATTTGAGACTTATCAAAATATCAAAGTATTTGTAGGCAAATGTCATACCCACAGTCACACAGTATGGCAAACAGTAAGTACTTCTATATACTCATTTGTAGACACTAGAAATAGATCTATGTATATAGTACAGTAAACAGGGCAAAATGAGGAATACTTAGCCATAACCAAATACCCTGAGGGGATGAATCACTTAGCCTAGGAGTTCAAGCCCATTGTTGCGGGGGATTGTCAAGGTCAAGTGGTTTTAGCATCTAATTTTGATGACAGTCATCTAAGATGTAATGATTTCTCCCTGTTGTGAGCGAAGAAAATCAAAGACTGTGTTCCAGAAGACTTATGGACCATGCAAACATCACCACACTCCTGAGACTAGAACTAGTTGGTTCATAACAGAAAGTCTCTGATATAAGAGTGGGAGAAAAATGTGAAGCAAAACACAAACATAAAAACATCTAAACTGAAAAAAAAAAAACCTAGACTTACTAGTCTAATAGAGACTGGTGGAACCATTGAGACTATCATCCTTAGTCATCTTTCAGGTTTGGAACTAAAAATAACCCTGTGGCTTAACGTCCAGCCAAACAATAGAGGGACTTAGATGGTGATGATTTAACACCAGGGAGGATAGCACTCTTTAGAATAATCAACTATATACAAGATCAAAGTAGCAGATGCCCAGAGGTTGCTCTCAAAAGGCAAGAAGGGATATGGAAGAAGAATGTAGATAAAATGTGAGGATTATAATCAGTGTCAGGAAACATAATGTGTGTGAACTCTTGCTTTATAAATTCTCAAATTAGAATCAAAAGGTCACCTAAGTATGGATCCCAGAGTTGAACAGGTATGTTCAACAATGCTGAGTTCTGTAATACTGAGAATCCTTGAAGTTCAAGACAGAGAAGAGAGATTGCAGCAGCTTTGATGGAGAAAGTGAGTTCTCTTCCATGTAATTTACAGTCTTCAAAACCCAGTGGAGGGTCAGTTATGAATTGGTTCCAAGTCCATGAAAATGAGTTGTATGATCCCTTTGGAACTGGAAACATATTCTAAAGCAGAGGTTGACAAAGTGGTGTGGGTTTGGTTGGGGTTGGTGTTGTTTTTTGTTTTTGGTGTTTTTTTTAAAAAACATATCAAGACCAAGTAGTTTGTGAGCAAACAGACTGTGTCATAGTTATTCACTTCTGCTGTTGTCAATTGCCTGTTAGGTTGTTTTGGTTAACTGCCCAGGGCTTAACAGTTCTACCACCAGGGCTCCTTAAAAGCATCTACAAACAATATGTCAACAATGATTATGACATTATTTCAACAAAACTTCATTAACGAAGACAGGAGCCAAGGCTGACAGCTGTATTTTTCTAAACTTTATCCTTAGAAGTCATATTCTTGGATAAAGTTCAGACAGAAATAGTTCTAACAAAACTTACTACCATTTAAAGGAAGATAACATACTTTGTAGTCCCTATGAAGTATTCCCCAGTATGTCCATTCTACAGTAAAAAAAAAATTACAGGTGAAGAAACAAGAGAATGTGACACCCAATCGTGAAAAACAGTTCTTAAAGCAGACCACACAAGCTTGTGAGCAGCCGTTGGCACAAGAGGGAAAACATCAAAGCTGTGTTGAAATAATCAGTACAGACTGCTAATGGACCATGCAAACCTCAATTCCACAACCCTGAGACCCTGATTTGGAAATGAGTTCTTGTTAATAAGATAGGATTAATTAGTGTAGCATTTTTTAGTGCAGTAAGTCAATCTCTTTTTAAGAAATTAAATGCAGACTAGGAAGCAGAGATGGGGTAAGAGATGCCAAACCACATGAAGATCACCCAGGAGCAGCAGCTCAGAGAGATGACCTCCTTGCACAGCTGACAGAGAAAACATTTCCCAAAAGCTTGATCTGGATTTCTAGCCTCCCAATTGGGAGTTCTGGTGGTAAGGAATTGCACTGCCAAGGCAAAGGCACACGATTTGAATCCACCAGCTGCTCCTCAGGAGAAAGATGGGCAGTCTCCTCCCTGCGATTTACTGCCCCTGAGAACCTGGGCAATGAATGTTCCAATTCAATGGGACATAACAAAATCTCCTAATTCAATTTATTTGTAATAAATGTAAATAAATATTTTATTATTGGAAATAATTTTAATATTAAAGCCATTTCTGTTATAGTTGTTATTTTGTGCCATCGAGTTGACTACGACCCATTGAGACCCTATGAACAATGGCTCTGAACCTTGCTCTATCCTAAGCCAGCCTCACCATCTCTGACACACTTGACCCCTATGCCACTGTCATTATGTCAGTCCATCTCATTCAGGGTCTTCCTCTTCTGCACTGACCTTCCACCCTTCCAAGCATGATATCTTTTTGCAAGGACTGGTCCTTCCTGGTCATATGCCCAAAGTATGTGAGAGGGAATTTGAAAATGCTCGCTTCAAACAAGCAAACTGATTTTTACCCTCTGTGGAACTTCAAAATCCTTGCCGCAAACCAGCAAACTAATTTTACCCTCTCCAGAACAAGTTCTCTTGGAATTCCATGGTATGTTCAATACTCTTGTCCAGCACCACAATTCAAAAGGCATTGATTCTTCTTCTGTCAACCTTAGTCATTGTCCACTCTCTGATGCATAGAAAGCAATTGAGCAATCAAGCTGTTGTCTGAACAGAGCAAGGAAACACTGCATCGTCCAAAATCAAGAAAGGAGTGTTATCTGGGATGTATCCTTCAGACATACCGCTTCAGTCTACATGCACTACAGTGTATCCTTCCGCCACACCTCTTCAGTCTACATGCATAACAGATAATTTGGGAAGGCAGACTTTATGAGGAAAAATGTGGCATCAGGATTGGAGAAAGACTCATTAACAGCCTGGGTTATGCAGATGATATCACTTTGTGTGCCAGAACTGAGGACGTCGTGAAGCTTTTGTTGTAGAAGGTGAAAGACTGCAGCCTTCAATATAGATTGCATCTCAACATTAAGAAAAAAGAGATCCTCACCACTGGGCCAGTAGACAGAATCATGATAAATGGGGAAACGATTAAGGTTGTTGAAGATTTCACCTTGCCTGGCTCTCCAATCAACAATCTTGGCACCAGTAGT